GACCCTCTAATATAGAATATTTGAGTCTATAACTTTTATCAATGAGCTCGGCGGACATATTTCTGGCCTAATTACGAGGGTGCACCCTGCAGGACCTCCCATTAGTCTGGATACCAGACCCGATGATTCTGACTACCCAACGAATCAAGGGTCCGATATATCACGTGACCAGGACTGGAGAAAATCCTCCATTTTTCCGGAAATAGCCAAGATATTCCTAAGTCGTCCTGTCTACATTCTGCATGTTCGGATGGTATCATTGATGCTCAGTTATTCCCAATCGGGTAGGTGGGCTTATTAAACATAAACCGTCAACAATCATGCATTGGCATATAATTAAAAGAATTTCAAAATGCTCAGGCCTGTGTATGATTTTGAATTTTCTGAGATTTTTTCAAGTTCGCCTCATTACTATGGGGAACATTTAGCTGAAATGGAACCCACCACATAAGGAAATGAAATCAAAAGCATCCTGGCTTTCAACTTGTGACCTCTGACCCTTGCGTCATATCTATTTATATCCGTGGGAGATGCCCGACTTAAGATTCTTTATCAAGGGTTGTAAGGAAATCCTTGGGCAGGGAACCAGACTCAGCTGACCGTGGGAGACTTATAAAACAAAGTAACAAAGAAGTGATGGAGGCAAAACAACTTGACACAACAACAAATCAGCCTATGTGAAGGCGCCGTCATCACTATATAAAGATGACGTGATGCTCATGTGAACCTCAACCCCGACCCCTTGCGTTCCCAAGGCCTGCAGACTTTTCAAGTCATCCTAAGACTCCAACAGCACTCACAGACTGATAACCCGATATTGAGTCCGCACACCAACCTCAGTCAGGAAGCAATGGTTGAGGTGGATATATAGCCACCCCAGCACCTTGGGAATGTTGGCACTTGTTTCCTTTCATGGCTTGCCCTTGTTTTCATCAGGTGCAGCTGCTATAGCCTCTGTAGGGTTCTGGCAAGTAAATATTTTGTAGAGATGGGTGCTCACAACAGTTAGACAAGGATACAAGCTTGAGTTCAGAAGCAACCGTCCCTCAGATACCATACTTCACTCTAGGTCCAGTTGACAAAAGCAAATGTGGGCTTGAGACGAAGAGATCTTGTCCCTCCTAAAATACAAACTTTTGGTAGCCAAATCATATAACAAGAAACTCAATCCCACTTCATCATAAGAATCAACTTTCCGGGGGGGGGGGTCCTTGACCTAATATGAGGTTTAAGAAGCCCTATGGAAGAATGCATTTTCAAGTAACAGCAATGGGTACAAGCACTCTTCCCATGCCACAGTGTGAGCCATGGTGTGAGATCCATGTCCACTTGATGGGTGATGGGCCTACCTCAGAAATATGCCCATTGCTGACATCTGCAAAACAGCATGAGCCACATTGATGCGTGTAACTCAAAAGAGAGATGATGCAAAGAAACATACTTGATGGTTCAAAATACTTTGCTTATTTTCCCCTTAGGACCCCAGGGTCCAGCAGGCAAACCAGGCAGCCCTGGACCAAAAGGCTCACCGGGTAAACAGGGTGAAGAGGGACCAATAGGTGAACCGGGAAGACGTGGAGAGGACGGTAAGTACGTCTGTCCCAGTGTAATGCAGAGCTGTGTAACTGACTTCCATCGGGTAAATGGCACATAAAAAGGCTACAGCCCAAAACAAATAATACCACCCCCAGCTTCAAGTTGTGTCCTCTTCATCTTGTAGAATATACACTGTATCAAGGACAAGTGCTAATCCTCACAAAACTTTTTTGCATGTCCGAAATGTTTTTTTATCCTTGTATACGGCGCTAGAGCGATTGTTGAATCTGTCGAAGGAACTCCAGCTAAATTTGTGAGACGAACAGAGGGGTACCTGGAAGTAGTTTTTACTTCGTCAGATTCAAACCCAGGCTAGATAAACCTCTTTTCTGCACTACGATAAGCTGTTTTACATTGAGAGGATTTAAATGATGTGACTGTTTGCAGTGTTGACTGTTGAATATTTCTATATCAAAAAGCACCGGACACACCAGAATATTTCTCTATCAAAAAGCACCAGACACACTACGACATTATGATTCATGCAGTTTAAATTAAGCAATCTCACAAGGGCCTGTGCTTACAAGATGAGTTTTTAAACATTTTCTTTTTTCCAATTAATACCCTCCACATTCTTGTGTTTGATTTGAGTATCAAAATTGGTTTTGATCTGTGGAAATCGAGCCGATTGTGTAAACCTTAGTCTTGAATTTCTTCTGTCATATATATGCACAGGAAGGGTTGGACAACAAGGACAAAAGGGTGATCATGGTGACATTGGAGCTAAAGGTGAAACTGGTGAAACAGGATTTCCTGGACTACCAGGTCAAATAGGTGTAGTAGGACCACGGGGGCCCCCAGGGGCTAAAGGTGATGAAGGGGAAACTGGACAAATGGGTCCGCCCAGTGAACCTGGAGAAAAGGGTGAGGCAGGGCCCCCAGGGGCTAAAGGTTGCACTGGGGAAAGAGGATTGGTGGGTCCCCCAGGTGTTGAAGGCCCGAGGGGTGAAGTGGGAGGAGTTGGACGTCCAGGGTCCAAGGGTGATCCAGGGCCATCTGGAGTGACAGG